GCGTGGTATGACTTGGTTTTGCCTGGAAGCGAAAGCGGGGTAGGTAATTCACGCTCTGAATGATGACCACCCGGCGGCCGGTGCTCTGCTCATCCGTCTGCAGCGCGCCTCGCTGGAGCTCTCAGCTGGGATACGGTAGGTTCGTGCGGCGCCGGCACGCGCAAAGATTCCGGACACCGCGTCGATCGTTCAGCACTGATGAAGGGGCCCCAGGACACACAAATAAATACACACAAATAAAATGATTCCCCATATTTTCCTATATTTTCTGGGTTTTTGTCTTCCCCCCCACTTCCCATATTTTCCCATATTTTCTGGGGAATCGACGATTAATTGTGTCTGTGTGTTTCTTTTCCTCCTGAACTGAACCGATGGCGGCCCAAAACGCTCAAGGTTGAATGCCGCCGGGTCCTGTGGCGTTACCGTCGTTCCATCATGCGGAGCTCAACCTCTTGGACGCCTCCGCCGGCGTCGTAGGCGCAACATCCACGCATGAGTCTACCGTAGGAGGTGACGTCAATCTCGGCCGTGACTGCCCTGCGGACGGCATTGAGCATCGCAGACACGACGGGGTTTGATCGAACTCGCCTGACCGTGGTGCTGCGGGTCACAGTCAACCTCCTGCGTGGGCGCCCCGGAAAAATGTGCCTCGACGACGTCGGAGCCTGGGAAAGTGACGCTTATCTCAGGACGGGCATGTCCCCCATACAGGAGGATTTTGGACGAAACACTAAACAGACCCCAAACAAAAATCTGAAAACAATAGAAAATCATCAAAGAGCATCTCCCCCGACTATTTTTGGCTATTTTTGAATTTTCCCCCCGTAGAGGGACATGCCCGACGTAACGCTTTGTCCCGCCCAGCAGTGACACTGTCAATAGGGGGAAAACAAACCTACCTCGCTTTTGACCACCCTCGCTTCCAAGAGATACCAAACGATGCCAAACTGCAGCCTGTACTGGTCAGGCCGCTGGACGAGGAGGCGCGTGGTATGGCTTGGTTTTGCCTGGAAGCGAAAGCGGGGTAGGTAATTCACGCTCTGAGTCAAAGAAGGATCTCCAGCCCAGCTCTGACACTGTCAAAGAAAAAATCGTGGAGCTCTCGGATGCGGTGGGTGGCCATCGCTCGGACGTCCATTCCCTGTGCTTTTGTTCGGTGTCGTGCGTGGTTTTTTCGCGAATTGATCAAGGATGCCCCTCGATGGTTCTCACCGAGGAAAAAACGCACACGTCCGAGCGATGCCAGGTCAAAGAAAAAATCATGGAGTTCTCGGATGCGGTGGGTGGCATTCGCTAGCACACGGCCAGGGAGGCTGGCCTGACGGTGGCTGCACGAGGCTCGACGGCGGGGCGATCGATTGATGCATCGTCGAAGCAGCACTTCTTGCGCACACGCTGGCGCCTTGTACGGTCAGCCTCGATGTCGACGGAAAGGGCCAGACCTCCTTGAAAGGGGCAGGGCTCTTTTCGCGATGGAAGGGGGCCCTCTCCTTGATGCGCACGGAAGGGCCCCCCTTCCATGCGCAATTCGTTGTTGTGCGGTGATGCTCTATCAAAGCAGTCTCATCCGTAGCAACAAAACGCTGACGCAAACACGCCGTGTCCGTTAAGTCGCCCTTTCCAAGCTCAGCGCACCAATCATGGAGAAACCAAACTATACCGAGACCGCCACCCCCCAGACCTCTCCCGGGGTCACGTTCTGACCAGGACATCGAGGCGAATCCAGTCGTGGCGACGAGAGGGCCTCCCAGGATGCCCCAAACAGGCGAAAACGACGGCAAGGCAACGTTATCGACACCTTTCGTGGATCACCCTCGCGGATCGGAGACGGCTTTGAGAGCAGACCATGACCAAGATCCCGCGACATCTTCGGTGGCAACTCACGGGCGCCTCCCATGCCATCTTGTTGGCTCTTGCGAGTCGACGCTGATCGACGCTAGTCGACGCTGAATCGGCGCTCGTCGATGCCCGTCGACGCTCGTCGACGCGAGTGCACTCGAAGGACGGATTGGCGAGGGTAGACCAGGCTTCCCAGAGCAAGCTCGCACTCTGGTGGTCAAGCAGGGAGGACTGCGTTGCCTGTTCATCTCTGAACAATCTCAAGAGAGCAACCTGCAGCGCTGGGCAACCCGCGAGGGCCGTGTCCCACGGCCCCGCACGTTCCTTAGTCCAGCCCGCTCGGCCCGAGGTCCCCAGACGTCCCCAGAACAGGCCAGCAGGACTACGGCTCGGTCCGAGTCCTGGTCATTGACTTGGAGCGCGGCAAGCACCACAAGGGCCTGGCCAGGGCCAACAAACTTCCTGTTCGACAGGCGCATAGCAATCTGCAAGCTGCTGCAGGCCGAATGGCGGCAACCTTTGTAAACCCTTCTTAGACAGCCTATCTACACCAGGTGTTTTTTTTCAGGCAGAGCAGAGATGACCCTACGAAGCCAATCGGCTCCCATCGTGCCAGGCTAGAAGATCCGCCACCGTGCCCCCCCCTGGCGCGTTGAGGCGTGGTAGAATGAATGCCAAGTGCACGTCGCTCATTTCTAATCATGCTCATTTCTAATTGTGCTCGTTTCTAATCGTTCCTGGCCTCCTAGTGGCCAGGCAGAGGCCCAGGATAGAACAATTGGAAATGAAAGCATCTAGGCCCCCCCAGAAAATCAAATAACTTTCGAATACTTAAAAATGAACAACGTGTACAGTTTCTGTAATCTTCTGAGGGGCCCCATCTCCTCGGGAAGCGCCTCGCTGCAGGCATCGCCCATCTCTCCCTGAGGCTCCGTCGGCGCCTAGACACGTCCCCCAGCGCTCTCCAAGGCGTCCAAGATGCCAAAGATAGCTTCCAAGATGGACAGATGGACCTGGAAGGCTACCACAGCCGCCAAGATGGCCGAAGAGCGACCCCAGACGGCCCAAGAGGCCCCCAAGAAGCCCCTCAAGCGCTCCCAGAGGGTTCCCAAGAAGGCCCACGCAAGCACCATTCATAGATTTCCATGGCTTGTACTATATTTATATATTATCGCCTCGTCGAGCTTCCGAACCTCCAAGACGCACGGTAGCGGGACTGGCCGCAGGCGGCTGGATTTTCTTCGCAGGCGCATCTGCCGTTCCGGGCGGCAGAGGAGGCGGCAGAGGCGGAGGATGGGAAGTCAGCACAGCATGAACGGCGCACCAATCACAGAATGTCTGAACGTAGCCAACGCCAGGACGCGAACTGTGGGTGCATGCTCGTCTTCGTCGGCCAAGATTTCCTGGCCGATCCGGTGATCAAGAAGTGCCCGTGAAGCATGCTAGCCAACAACAGCACAATGCTTTGCACGCTGCTGAAAGGAGATAATGGAAGCTCTCAGAAGGATAATCAGGAAGGGGACCATGTTTTCGGAGCGAGCCTCGAGATGCAACGCCCCAGCGACTGACGCACCGACGCAGCTCTCGGTGCAGGCTTGGGCGGGGAGTCTCCATCCTGTGTGCTCTCCAGCTCGAGGCGCTGGATCTCGGACTGCAGCTCCAGAACCTTGCCAGCGCTGCTGTTCTGGGCCTGCGGGCAGACGTGGAGCGAGAAGCGTGCGGACGGGAGGGTCGGTCGTTGGTGCAGGGAGAGACAAGCAACATACATGCGGGGCATTGACCAAAGGAACCCTAAAGAAGGAACGATGCCCTTTTATCCACAAATCAAACTTCGACTTCCCATGGAAGACCCAAGGAAAACCCGGGGCAAGCCGTGGAACAATTAAGGAACACGGAGCCCCTACCCAACGAAAAGGGCTCCTTCTTCAGCGCCCCGACTGTAGGCATGAACAATCTAATAAGCCGAACTCTATACACCGATGCCTTTTCCGGCCCAGCACTGGAACTCGCACAGGAAAGCGGATCCTGGTGTATGGGGAATCCTGGTGCTTAGTGGGCCCCGGAAACGGCACGGCAATTTTTCCACCGTTTCCTAAACAAATCTCTTGAAAATGGGATCGGCAAAAAAAACGGCGACCGGAAACGGCAACAAAAACGGCTCCAGGAATGGAACCGGAGCGGGAACCCGCAAAAAGAACGGCGACGGAACCGGTAGAAAAACCGCGTCGGAACTGGCAAAAAAACGGCAAAACGGAACCGGTAAAAAAACGGCCCTGTCGTTTCCAGGGCCCACTAAGTCCTGGTGTGCACATTTTTCGTTGTCTCCTCCAGGAAACGGGGGCACAGAGTATACACCACACCACCCCGACGTCGCCCCCGACCCTCAAAAAGTCCTCGGATTGGAAAACAGCGCGCCACTGGTTATTCTGGGTTTCTAAATAAGCGTGGGGGGTACCCCCCGACGGGGGTCAACCTCGCCTCGTCGTCGCGCCGCGAGGGGGGTCGGAACGCCTTCGGCACGCGGTGGCTGCCCGCGACGGGGGTCGATGTGGGGCTGTCGGTGGGGGTGACGCCTCCACGACTCTGACTGAGAAACTCGAAGTGAGTACATGCTCCAGTTTCCGAGGACAAGCAACAGAGGCATGCCCGTCCTACATGTGTTGCGGTGGAACAGTTGCCCATCAGTCATGGAAACACTTGCCAAGTAAGGAAACGAACTCTACACACCGACGCTTTCTCTGGCCCTGCCCTGAAGCTTGCGCGGGGAAACGTATCCTGGTGTACACGGGATCCTGGTGTATAATGTTTCGCTGCTTCTCCGGGAAAGCGGCGGGGACAAAAAGTATACACCACACCACCGCAACGGCGTTCCCGACCCTCAAAGAAACCCTGGGATTGAAACATGGCGCGCCTCTGGTAATTTAGATGCTCCAGTTTCCGAGGAAGCACTTGCCAAGGTGAACACCCAGCGCTCGGGACCCCGCGTGGACTCAAGACGGCCAGCATCCGAGCATATTCACGTGCCAGCTGGCCTCCGTGTGTGCAGTAGAGAGCGTACGAAGCTCAGCCAAGTCTGGACAGAGCACGCAACACCCTACCAGAGAGCCGATTCTCAACCCGTGAGGCTCGACGTGGCGGCGCAGGAAATCCTTCACCGAATCAACACATAGCTATACGCTATACTGAACCGTAGGTTGCAGCCCCCTTGCCGCAGCCACGCCCTCGCCGCGCACGGTGTCCAGAGGAATGTGAGAAGGGCAAGTGAACCGAGATAGGGGGCAATTGGAGACAGTCGGGGCCCAGAACCTCCCCCCTAAGTCCAGGTGCACCTGAGTATGTGTATATATCGAATGGCCTTCGGCCAAACCCGCCGCGGAGCTGGATTGTGGATCAGAGTCCTCAGGGATTTATTAGGGGTCTCTTCGGAACGCTCTCGGGGGCCTCTGGGGAGCAGTCTAGACTCTTGGGGGCATCTTGAAAGCCTCTCGAGGGCCTCTCGAGGCCTTCTGGGGGCCTCTTGGGGGCTTCTCGGGAAGCCTCTTAGAGGTTCTGGGGGTCTCCTGAAGGCCTATTTGGGCCGAAACCTCGACATATTCGTCCGGGTCCCCCGTGTGGGCCCCCTCTTGGAGCCGGCTTGGGGGCCTCTTGGGCCGTCTTCGAGGCCTCTTGGGCTCTCTTGGAGGCCTCTTGGGCCGTCTTGGGGCGATCTGTGGGGCTTCTTAAAGCGTCTGGGGGCGTCGGGAAGTCAAGAAAGCCAGACAAACCTTCAAACACCTAGGAAACAAACATAAAATGCCTCTGGGGGGCCCCCTGGGAGGCCTCTTCGAGGCCAGTGGGAACGTCTTGGGGGCATCTTGGGGAAGCTTGAGGCCGTCTTGGGCGTTTTGGACGGATCCCAAGAGGCCCCAAAGATGCCCCGACAGGGCCCCAAGAGGCCCCTAGAGACCCCAAGAGGCCTCCAAGAGGTTCCACAACTGTTCCCAAGAGGCCTCAAAATTGTACCCAAGATGCCCCCGAGTGCGCTCCGAAGCGACCCCGAGAAGCATCCCCGAGGACTCTGACCCACAATCCGGGCACGGTGGCGGAATAGGATCATATGTATCTGCCACCGTGCCCTTGAGGCACGGGTTACAGTGTCCTCAGGTCCCTTGTTGGCTCCCCTGGGGCCTCAGCCTTTCAGTCCCGAGGACTCTTCTAAACAGGGACCCACAAAACCAAAATTGCCGAATCGGCCGGGGAACTTCCCGTGGCCCCTGCGGCGCGCCGCGGGCAGCCGACAAAGCACTCAAAACGTCCCAAGAGGCCCCCAAGAGCCTTCATCAGAGGGCATCGAGAGGCCAAAATCATTGATGTTCCTTGCGTCTTTCAATGTGGATGGTGTTCTCGCTTGTAGGAAGGAGCTTCCGACGCTCAAGGACGTCTCACGAGGTCTCCAAGACCGCCCCAAAACGGCCCCAGAAACTCCCAAGATAGACCCAAGACAGAGCCCGAGAGGGCCCCAAGATGGCCCAAGAGGGGCCCGGGACGGTCCGAAGAGCGGAAAATTTTAGTCTTCCGCCCCAAGAGGCCCCCCAGGAGGTCCCAAGCATGCGCCAAGAGGCCCCCAAGAGACCCCAAGAGACCTCCAAGAGGCCCTCATGACGCCCGAAGAGGTTCCAAAACTGCTCCCAAGAGGCCTCCCAACGGCCCCTAAGAGTCATGGGTGTATGTATACGTATATGAAAGTGCATGTGTGCAGATGTGTGTGTATGTGCAGATGATGAGTTCTACGCATGAGCGAAGGTAAGCTGTTTCCGCGAAGCCTGGAAGTAGATGTCCTCCTCCCAAGATCGGCGCCAGGAGCTGTCCAAGGGTGCGCCACAGCCAAACATTTTGCAGCGAATCGGGCCATGGCCACGCGGGCGCCCAGGGAGGCCCCAGAGAAGGTCACAACAACGACCAAACACCTTCATCCTCGGTCGCCGCCTCGAGACTGTCCGAATCGCCGATCTCCCTCGGTGGGGAAAAGCAGGCGCTCGGTATGAGAAAGGGACGGGAGAAAGAGGACGAGCCGGAGGAGGATGGAAGAACAGCGGGCGGAATCCTCGATCGTCTTCGATCTGACGGGCAGTCGTGTTCTATCATTCGCGAGAGCACCTGTTACCGGCCCCACCCCCCACCACTCCCTGGTAACGTTGCGATTCGCGCCGACGCAGTCTGTGCACTGGCCATTCCTAAGCATTTTCAGGCGGCGCCCGCGCGAAACGTAACGTTTACGGACCCGTGCCCCCCCTTTAACACCCGTTATCGCCAGGTGATGAAAGATGGCTCCTATCCTGCTTCTGCTCTCATCCTTCTCCTCCTCCTCCCAAGCGGCGTTGGTGCAGCAAGTCGTCACAACCGATCGATCGCCCACCGCGCAGTGGGAATGATGACGCCGACTCTGTCGGCGGTAGAAACCTCCTCCTCCTCCTCCTTCCCCTCCTCGCCGATCATGGTGACTGGGGGGAGGCGCGCCTCCTTGACTTGGAGCTCCAGCTGCGTCGCCCTGTCCTGCAGGCGAGGGCGCGGGCGACGCCAGTCGGGCGGCTCCCCGTCCCGAAAGAGACAGATCCAGACAGACGCATCGAGCACAGCGCAGACAAAAGGAGGAAGAGGAGGAGGAGGACTTGCGGTAATATT